AATTTTACATTTAAAAGCAGTTGTGAAAGAATAATGGTAGTTATGCCTGGTCTCTACCAACTTTTTCCAAAGCCCATACAATCTTAAGATAACTGGTAGTTAATTGAATTCTTGAAGGTAGTATAAAGATCCCGAGAAGATTCATCCAAACAACTTTACAACTCTTTCGTAGTCTTGGAATTTCACTCATATTTACTCAAAAATATAGATGGCCAAGCATCTGGAGGATCAGAAATCAGATTTTGTATAAAAATTTGTTAAGTTTATTGTCTAATTTATTTTCACTGCGTAAGTTTGATTGCTTTGCGGTGTGTTTCAAATTAATTTCGGGTTGTGTTTGGGTTTATATAGGTCGCAGACGCGTACGATGAAGCTCTGAGCATTGTTAAACTGTATTTAGAAGTGGGCATTATTGAGCTAAGTTTGATGATTTGGCAGTGTGATTAAACTCATCTCGGATTGGCTTAGTTTGGTTTTAATTGTTTCAAACTGGGAGCTCTTTTACTTTTAAGCTGAAAACTCCTAAACAACACTGATTATACTTCGTTGGCTCCCATAAAAATTTACATTTAAAAGCAGTTGTGAAAGAATAATAGTAGTTGTGCCTGGTCTCTACCAACTTTTTCCAAAGCCCATCAAATCTTAAGATAACTGGTAGTTAATTGATTTCTTGAAGTTAGTATAAAGATCCTGAGAACCTCCTTCCAAACAACTTTACAACTCTTTCGTAGTCTCGGAATTTCACTCATATTTACTCAAAAATCTAGATGGCAAGCATCGGTAGGATCAGAAATCAGATTTTATATAAAGAATTTGTTAAGTTTATTGTCTAATTTATTTTCACTACGTAAGTTTGATTGCTTTGCGGTGTGTTTTAAATTAATTTCGGATTGTGTTTGGGTTTATATAGGTCGCAGACGCGTACGATGAAGCTCCGAGCATTGTTAAACAGGATTTAGAAGTGGGCATTATCGAGCTAAGTTTGATTATTAGGCAGTGTGATTAAACTCATCTCGGATTGGCTTAGTTTGGCTTTAATTGTTTGAAACTGGGAGCTCTTTTACTTTTAAACTGAAAACTCCTGAACAACACTGATTATACTTCGTTTCTTGTGAATCGTGAGTTTCTTTTCAGTTAAGCTATATTATGCCTACCTTTTTTTAATTTTACATTTAAAAGCAGTGAAGGAAGAACAGTAATTTGAAACTAATTTCTTAACTCATACTTTTGGGAGGGCAGTTTTATATTTTTGCGAAGGCCACCAAAACTTGAGACAAATGGTAGTTGATTAAACTCTTTGAGTTAATACCTGAGAACTTTCTTCCGAACAACTTAAACAACTATTTACTAGTCTCCGAAATTCACTCATATATACTCGACAATCTAGACGAACTAGCATGTAGAGAACATGAAATCAGTTTATATATAAAAGTTTGTAAAGTTTATTGTTTGATTTATTTTCACAGCGCAAGTTTGATTGTTTGGTGTTAAGTTTAAAATTGTTTAAGATTGTGCTTTTGTTTATACAGGTCGCATATGCATATGACGAAGGTTCAAGCACTATGAAGTTGCATTTAGGAGTGGGTGTTATCATGCTTAGGTTAAAGTTGTGGTTTTCATTTTAGTGAAGAAATGATAAGTTTGATTAAATGGCGGTGCGTTTAAAATCATCTCAGATTGGCCTTGTTTGGTTTTCATTTTACGAACGGGCTAACGTTGAGAGAGTTTAAAATCAGTTTATACACAATTTTGTTAAGTATACTGTTTGATTTATTTTCCCTGTTAAGTTTTTTAAAAAACCAGTTCGGGGTTTGTTTGGCTTTACACACTGGTCACACACAAGAAGCGTAGCATCAAGCTTCGAGGAAATTGAAGTTGGTTGGCGGCGTGGGTGATTGTTAGACTAAGTAAGTGTTGCGATTTTTAATTTTATTTTAGTAGTAATTGACATGAAAGCTTTTATTGCAAGTGTTAGTTTTTTTTTATATTCTGAGTTTAAGCTTGTTTGATGAAAAGTTATATCATCCCTGTAATTTATTGTTTTTAACTAAAATTTGTACATTATTCTAAACAGAATTCATAAGGAAACTAGATATTCAGAATCCTAAAGTTAATAGGGATAGTTTTTTCGAAGTGAGGTAGTATTACTACAGGCAGGAGGGTTATTCTGTCGATAAAGTTAAAGGAATGAATAGTTTTTGTTAAACTACTTTTGTAATTAGTTGCAGGTTGAAGTCCTTATTCTTCTGTGTTGTATTGTTTGTTGCTAGACCAACCAAAGTGTTATATATACTCCGATGTGTTACATGCTCTTTTTGAAAACCCTAAACAGCACTGATCATACTTCGTTTCTTACAAATCATGAGTTTTTTCTAGTTAGGCTCGATGTCTACCTTTTTTAAAATATTACATTTAAAAGCAGTTGTGAAAGAATAAATGGTACTTCATTGAATTTTTGAAGTTAGTATAAAGATCCCTAGAACCTCCTTCCAAACTACTTTACAACTCTTTCCTAGTCTCGGAATTTCACTCATATTTACTAAAAAATCTAGATGGCCAAGCCTTTGGAGAATCATAAATCAGATTTTATATAAAAATTTGTTAAGTTTATTGTCTAATTTATTTTCACTGCGTAAAATTGATTGCTTTGCGGTGTGTTTTGAATTAATTTCGGATTATGTTTGGGTTTATATAGGTCGCAGAAGCGTACGATGAAGCTCCGAGCATTGTTAAATTGGATTTAGGAGTGGGCATTATCGAGCTAAGTTTGATTATTTGGCAGTGTGTTTAAACTCATCTCGGATTGGCTTAGTTTGGTTTTAATTGTTTCAAACTGGGAGCTCTTTTACTTTTAAGCTGAAAACTCCTATAAACAACACTGATTGTACTTCGTTTCTTCTGAATCGTGAGTTTCTTTTCAGTTAAGCTATATTATGCCTACCTTATTTAAATTTTACATTTAAAACCAGTGAGGAAAGAAGAATAATTTAAAACTAATTTCTTAACTCATTCTTTTGGGAGGGCAGTTGTATATTTTTTTCGAAGGCCACCAAAACTTGAGACAAATGGTAGTTGATTAAACTCTTTGAGTTATTACCTGAGAACTTTCTTCCAAACAACTTAAACAACTATTTACTAGTCTCCGAAATTCACTCATATATACTCGACAATTTAGATGAACTAGCATGTAGAGAACATGAAATCAGTTTATATATAAAAGTTTGTAAAGTTTATTGTTTGATTTATTTAACAGCGCAAGTTTGATTGTTTGGTGCTAAGTTTAAAATTGTTTTAGATTGTGCTTTTGTTTATACAGGTCGCATATGCATATGACGAAGGTTCGAGCACTATGAAGTTGCATTTAGGAGTGGGTGTGATCATGCTTAGGTTAAAGTTATGGTTTTCATTTTAGTGAAGAAATGATAAGTTTGATTAATTGGCGGTGCGTTTTTGTTAAAGCACTATGAGGTAGTATTACTACAAGCAGCAGGGTTATTCTATCGATAAAGTTAAAGGAATGAATAGTTTTTGTTAAATTACTTTTGTAAATAGTTGCAAGTTGAAGTCATTATTCTTCTGTGTTGTATTGTTTGTTGCTAGACCAACCAAAGGGTTATATATACTTCGATGTGTTATATGCTCTTTTTGAAACTCCCAAACAGCACCGATCATACTTCGTGTCTTACAAATCATGAGTTTTTTCTAGTTGGGCTTGATGTCTACCTTTTCTAAAATTTTACATTTAAAAGCAGTTGTGAAAGAATAATGGTAGTGATGCCTGGTCTCTACCAACTTTTTCCAAAGCCCATAAAATCTTAAGATAACTGGTAGTTAATTGAATTCTTGAAGGTAGTATAAAGATCCCGAGAAGATTCTTCCAAACAACTTTACAACTCTTTCGTAGTCTCGGAATTTCACTCGTGTTTACTCAAAAATCTAGATGGCCAAGCATCTGGAGGATCAGAAATCAGATTTTATATAAAAAATTGTTAAGTTTATTGTCTAATTTATTTTCACTGCGTAAGTTTGATTGCTTTGCGGTGTGTTTCAAATTAATTTCTTGTTGTGTTTGGGTTTATATAGGTCGCAGACGCGTACGATGAAGCTCCGAGCATTGTTAAACTGGATTTAGAAGTGGGCATTCTCGAGCTAAGTTTGATTATTAGGCAGTGTGATTAAACTCATCTCGGATTGGCTTAGTTTGGTTTTAATTGTTTCAAACTGGGAGCTCTTTTACTTTTAAGCTGAAAACTCCTAAACAACACTGATTATACTTCGTTTCTTGTGAATCATGAGTTTCTTTTCAGTTAAGCTATATTATGCCTACCTTTTTTTAATTTTACATTTAAAAGCAGTGAAGAAAGAACAGTAATTTGAAACTAATTTCTTAACTCATACTTTTGGGAGGGCAGTTTTATATTTTTGCGAAGGCCACCAAAACTTGAGACAAATGGTAGTTGATTAAACTCTTTGAGTTAATACCTGAGAACTTTCTTCCGAACAACTTAAACAACTATTTACTAGTCTCCGAAATTCACTCATATATACTCGACAATCTAGACGAACTAGCATGTAGAGAACATGAAATCAGTTTATATATAAAAGTTTGTAAAGTTTATTGTTTGATTTATTTTCACAGCGCAAGTTTGATTGTTTGGTGCTAAGTTTAAAATTGTTTAAGATTGTGCTTTTGTTTATACAGGTCGCATATGCATATGACGAAGGTTCAAGCACTATGAAGTTGCATTTAGGAGTGGGTGTTATCATGCTTAGGTTAAAGTTGTGGTTTTCATTTTAGTGAAGAAATGATAAGTTTGATTAAATGGCGGTGCGTTTAAAATCATCTCAGATTGGCCTTGTTTGGTTTTCATTTTACGAACGGGCTAACGTTGAGAGAGTTTAAAATCAGTTTATACACAATTTTTAAGTATACTGTTTGGTTTATTTTCCCTGTTAAGTACACGGTGTTGATTACATTATTCATTCCATTTTCTAATGCCATTTGCACACGTTTTTTGTTCACGTATGACGTACCCTACATTTTGTCGGCATCAAAGCAATCCGTCAAAAAATGTAGAAGTTGTCGAGAATTTTGAGCTGATTGTTCATGAGAGAAAAAATGTATAAAGCGTGTATAAAAATGTGTACACCAAACAATTCTGAATAAAATCATGTACAATATTGGATGGTACAACAAGAAAAATCAGCTTTGCGAATTTGAAGTGTGCAGTATTCTCTCAGCTAGCAACAAATCATCAGGGGTTGTAACCTGCAAGTATACACATAAGTCTGAGCACAAAGAAAAATGGCTCAGTTCTGGAAAGTCTATTTTTACCGTCTTTGGCTCTGTTATTCCCGTTATAGGATCAACGAGAATGTGTCCCACAAGGCAGCAATTATTCTGGAGGGATGGGTTACCTTGATATTAGTGTAAGAGCCTTTAGTGATATAGACTGGATGGTTAAGGAGCTCAACGATTGATACATCATCTGTCACTTCCAGGCCTTCCCTGCTACATTTGGGTCCCGAAAAAATGTTAGGGAAAAGACATGGAAGTGCGAAGTAAAGTTTACTTATTGCATAAGAAAATGCCAAGGAAAATAATGATTATCTTTTTTAATTTTTCCAAGATTTTCTTAGAATCTTTAGTTTTTATGTAATAAAAATAAATTAATACAGAGGAAAACATGAGTTTGAAAAAATAATAACCACAACTTTTGAACCAATTTTTTGTTTTCCTTTTCTTCATTGCATGTTACGAGTAATAGTTTATCTAAATTAGGAATTCTGTTGTATTTTGGAAACTCTCTTGATTATATATAGACCTATCAGGACCCTCCCTAGGGTAACCTGTTTCAATTATTCACATGGTATCAGAGCAATTATGAGTAGCATCTGAAAAAGGTAATCGTTGAGATTTACCTAAACGACATGAAATACAATCATGGGAAAAACTAGAGCTACTACAAATATGCTGCTGACTAAGTAAATTACGTAAAATAGAATTGTCACAATGGCCTAATCTACGATGTCACACAGGGCCAGAAGTGGTGATGGAAGATAACGCTAGAGGAGACGGACGACTGAGGCTGACAGGATAAAGATGACCTTTACTGGGTGCTTGAAGGACCGCCCCCGAAATTTTGTCCTTAACAAAAAAGGAATTTTTATCAAAAATTACAACACAGTTGTTATCAACACAAAGTTTTTGAATGGATAATAAATTAAATTTTATATGAGACACATGATAAACAGATTTTAAAACAAGAGAACGACTAGAGGAAAATAAATTAATATCACCAACATTAGCAATGGGAAGCTGAGAACCATTAGCAACACTAACAGAACGGGATCCGGTATAAGGGGATTTATTAACTAAAATACCTTTCTGTGGGAGTCATGTGAGCAGATGCCCCAGAATCGGGATACCATAAATTGTCATTTGTGTCACCACCAGGAACCATCAAAGCAACAGAAGCTTGACTAAAACGAGAAGGACAATGGAGGGCAGAATGGCCTGCAGAAAAACAGATTTGACAAACAATAGGTGGTGGGACAGACCCAAGAATTCCATCAGTCGATGGGAGGCTTGCATAGCCAGAGTTAGTATCACAAATAAAATAGGGATTAGCATTTAAAGTGGACAAAACAGATATACTAGCAGAACCTGAAGTGGTCTGGCGTGGAAGGTGTGCGCCAGGCTGTGATTGGCCGAAACCGGCCGCTGGTGGGACCTGGCCGGTGAACTGCGGACCGGAAGAGTGCTGGCCACCTTGCTGGCCGAGATGTGGCTGGTGTCCATTCGGGCCGAAGTGGGGCTGCCCGTACTGATTGCGCCCCCTGCCACGACCGCCACGACCACGGCCGCCTCTCCCGCGGCTGGCCCTACCGCGCGGAGCATATGCGGGCTGGTGCGGCTGGTTGCCAACAGCAGCTCCAAATGCCTGATGAAGGCTGGTGGAAGCATGGTGACGATTGAATATAACTCGTTGTTCGGCCTCCATTAGGCGAGGTTGTAACACATCAAAGGGAAATTTGTCGGGGAAAAGCATAATTGTGCCAACAAATGATTCATATTCAGGACCCAAACCCCGAAGAATGGACTCCAATAACTCCTTATCCGAGACTGGGGAATTAACAGCAGCGAGAGCATCAACCAAATTTTTTATATCCTGGAGATAATGTTCCATAGACTGATTTTCCTTCTTTTTGAGATTAGTTAACTGACGCTTCAATTCCATACAACGGGGTAAACTAGCAGACATGAATCTAGTTTGTAGCCTATTCCAGATCCCAAAGGAGTGTTTGACATCATGCACATCAACTAAAACATCACGAGTAAGAGTAGCAAATAACCAAGAACGGATAGTTTGATCTACCCTTAGCCAATGATAGTACTCAGTATTAGGCACTTGATGATTATTAAAATCAACATTATACATTGGAGGAACAGGAATAGACCCATCAAGCATGCCAAATAAACCTTGAGAAACTAGAAACGATTCAAACTGAGTCCGCCAAGTTAAATAATCTTCCACATCCTTTAATTTAATTGTCACAATTTGGCTGACATTAGAGATATGAGTAAGAGATTGTACCAAAGAGGCCATGGGACTACCGAAGATAGATGACTCGGGTGGCCTAGCAATCCCTGGGGAGCCTGTGAATGTGGGGCCAAAGAATAGTGACCCGGGCTGCACTGGGGGTGGGAGAACGGACTGCTGCGGCTGTGGTGCTATTTGATATGGAGAAGCAGCGGATTGATGCTGGAAAAGAGGAGTAACAGTAGGAGAGGCCCACATCCCAGAAGCAATTGAAGGAATTGTGGTCAAAGCCTGCTGCGAAGAGAAGCCAGCATGTGGGAGGTGCCAAGGAGATGCAGTCTGCCAAGGAAAAGGTGGCTGTGGGTTCTGGAAAAATGGGGAGATGCCCACAACGCAGAAGATGTTGACAGAGAGGGAACCACATGTGGCTGCGACGAGGAGAAGACTTCGGCGCCAGATGAAATTTCCGTCATGGAGGAGGCTATGGTCGCAGAAACCGAGACAGAGGAAGCAAAGGTGGTCTTGGCGCTGGACGATGTTGCCGGTGTGACAACCTGGGATGAAGGGGCGCTCTGCATAGCTGCGGTCGCGGAAGAAAGTGAGGAAAAAAATTAGGTTTTGGGCTCTGATACCATGTGAAGGGAAAAGACTTTGAGACAGGCTGGACTGATGGAGGTTGGCTGGTCGTGAAGGTGATGGGGTTGGTGGGTTAGTGAGCGTGACTGGAGAGAGGATAATTGGGATGGAGTGGCGGCTGGATGATGGTTTGTCGAGGTGATCAAGAGGTGGGGCCGTAGGTGGAGAATGGGAGTCTGGTGTGGTGTCTTGGCTAGAGCTGGGCACACTATGGGTTGGGGATAAGAGAGTGGCAGAAGGCTCAGACTGTTGACTTATCTCAACAAAATGTCTAGGGGGAGAGGATATAAGTGGTGGACGAAGAGTATTAGTTAGGAAAAAATCTGATGGAGGCTGCGAAACAGACTCAGAGGGAACAACACTTAGAGACTGAAAGGGGAAAACATTTTCAAGAAATCTAACATGACGACTAACATAAACCTTACCAGTTTTAGGCTCAAGACAACGATACCATTTATAACCAGATGCATAGCCAATAAAAACACAGTGAACGGAACGAGGAGAAAGTTTGTTGGCAGAAGTAGCAGGGGACTGCCAAACATCAGAATGAATAAGTTGTCGAATGGGACTAAATCCCAAGTATTATTAGTGATAAGAGCATTAAATTCTTCAGCCATAGCCTCACGCCATTTTAACTGTTTATGTGCCTCAGTAAAACAAGTAGGATCAGCTGAAATAACAACCGTTTGTAAATTAAAAATTGTTTTGGGTTTGAAAATTCCGAACTTGGCCCGAGTTTGCATAGGGTGACTAGGAAGTTTGAAAATTCTTCTTCCGTTGTTAATTCTTTCATTAGCCTCATTGCTTCCCAATTTGCTATGAAAGATCTGGGTGATGTTCACTATTTCTTGGGTGTTCAGACTGTCAGGAGTCCTACAGGTCTATTTCTTTCTCAACATAAATATGTTTCTGATCTCCTACATCGCTTTCACTTACACACTGTTAAGTCTGTTCGCACTCCTCTTGCTACTCGCACTACTCTCTCCCTCACAGATGGTGAACTCTTTGCTGATGCCATTGAGTATCGCAGTATGGTAGGTGCATTACAGTATTTAACTTTGACACGGCCTGATATTACCTATGCAGTTCATTTAGTGTCTAAGTTTATGCATGCTCCTCGTACTACTCATATGCTTGCGGTCAAGCACATTTTCAGATATTTGTAGGGCACTCTTGATCATGGATTGTGGCTTCAGTCATCTGCTCGATCGCTGTGTATTTTGGCCAATTCTGATGCTGACTGGGTTGGGTGTCCTGATAGCTCTCGCTCCACCACTGGATTTGCTGTTTTTTTAGGACCGAATCTTGTTTCATGGAAGTCTAAAAAGCAGCCCACTGTGTCCAAATACTCTACTGAAGCAGAGTATCGTGCCATTGCATACACTGTCCAGGACACCATACACGTTCGGTCTGTTCTCTTTGAGCTTGGGTTTCCTGTTCGCGAGCCAGTTCAGCTATTTTGTGATAATATCTCCGCCTCCTATTTGACTGCTAACCCCGTTCAGCATGCTCGGAGCAAACACATACAGATTGATTATCATTTTGTTCGAGAGAGAGTTGCCCGTGGAGATTTAGTAGTTAAATATGTTCCTACTCATCTTCAACTCGCTGATATTTTTACTAAGAGTTTGTCTAGTCAACAGTTTCATTTTTTAAAAGACAACATGCGCGTTGTATCTCCCGCACAGTTTGAGGGGGTGTAATAGTTTATCTAAATTAGGAATTCTGTTGTATTTTGGAAACTCTCTTGATTATATATAGACCTATCAGGACCCTCCCTAGGTAACCTGTTTCAATTATTCACAACGAGTTTCTAACAGATTCTAAACCTAGCAATGACGCTCAGAAAAAAACTTCAGGGGCTGTTCAGTAGGCTTTAGATTTTCCTCATCGCCATGTTTTTCAACCAAAATTAACTACTGGCTGGATTAGTTGATAATGAAGAAAAGCAGTTCCAGATTTACTCCATTGGCTAAAATGGATGAAATTGATTTAGTTTTAGATGCTATTTTCATACGTTTCTTTTTAAATATGTAAATTTAAATGGTTGTTGTTAGATAATTAAGCATATTCGGATTATGAATTCGATATAATCATAGAATTTTAGGAAAAATTCCCGAAATAGGAGCAAAAACATTTTGGAATTTCAAAATAGGAGTACAATGTTTTTGTTCTCTAAATAGGAGTCATGACTATCAAGTTTGAAAAATATTACCGTGTTTAAAACTTAGTAATGCCAAAACATTACAGTAACGACTCCTATTTAAGTAAATTTGTTTAGAATTTATGTTGCGCTCAAATTCTAGTCAAAATTAACATTGAAAACATGTTTTGGATGAAAAAAGTGGTAGCAAAGGATTACCTATTGATAAGCTCAAACCCTTTCTTGAGCAACTCCGGCTTGATGACCTAAACTGGAGAAATTATTGACTGGCTTCACCCGAGATGACATTTACCAATTATATGTAGTCAAAAGATTCTAATATGGGGTCAAACCTGTGGGGTTTGCATTTCCCAGAGGGTCTTCCGGTTAAGAGTTCTCACAACAAACGATTCATCATTTGCCTGCACAGCCATTGCAGAGAAAATTCAAGCATCGGCTAAAACCATAATGAATTAATGATCAATTAAATCATAAGTAAACAACTTCGCTTTCATTCCTTTTAAGATTTTTCCAGAGAAATTACGCTCTCTAAATCTAAATGCTATTAATTGAGCCAAGAGTATATTGTCATTAAAAATACCTCTTTGATTGTTGCTTTAGCCGGAACTCCGAGAACGGCTGCCCCAACAAGCAAACCATCCTTTAAAACCTGCAAAGAATCAACAAAAGGAGGAGATGTACTAAGGCTTTATATAGGACTGGAGGGAACAATATAAATCATATATATGCAAAAGTGACTTACCGAATATGAGGTAGGTTTTATATTTTGAAAACAAAACATCATTTCGAAAAACATAAAACGGGAAAATTAAACAAAGCAAACCCTTGATGATCAAACCTTCTCAATATCTTCTGCAAGTACTAGAGGTCTTGCAGAGTCATGGATGCAAATGAGTTCAGAGTTCACATCAACAGCCTGATACATAACATAAAACATTACATAATATGAATGACATTGAGATTATACAAGAAACACAGTGCGAGTGTGTGAGAAGAAGTTTAAGTATAACTACTGGGGTAAGGTTGCATACATCCCACCCTTTTACCCCACTGTTGGTGGGAGCCTTTGCGGCAATGGGGTGATGTTGTTGTTTGGTGAGTGACATCTAAAAAATATAAGTTGCACTAAATTTCAGGAATTTCCATTAGAACATTCATAGATCAGAGTTGTTTCTATAAATTATGAGCACATAATAAAAATTGGCAAATGGTCACTCATATAAATAATCAACACATAATTTAAAAGAGTATCTCATTAGAGGTAACCACATACCTGAAATCCACTATATACAGAATCTTGCCTCTCCTTTCCAGGCAATGCATATTTCAATTTAGTTTTGATCTTTTCTCTTGCATCTGCACACACACGAAAAACACTCTGATGAACCATCAGCAAAATATCAAATGGAGCAGGAAAAGAGAAATAATATCACTAACAAACTAGACCTACGACCTCCCAACCTTTTTAGAGCAAGACATCAAACTGTATTTAATTTGTCCATGAAAGTTACAATACGAAATTGATTGAATAAAAAAACAATACCTCCATACCTTCAAATACATCCTTATAAGATGGATCACAAACCACAACAATCTCTTTCACTTGAGGCAACTGGGAGAAGGTGTAGAAACTGAAACAAGCCAACAAACCATAAAATACAGAGAGATACAAGTAGAAATAGCTTCTCAACTGCTAATCTATGAGTCTTCTTGTACCAATCACATACTCCATATTAGTTATCAACTCAAGTATCTTAATATAATAAATTTATCCCGGTCAACTTATACCAATTACCAAGGCTTTTGAATAACATATCAATTCTTTTTTACTTTGCATGAAAATTTGAAGAAAAGCAAAAAACCATAAATCAACAGCTCATACAATTTAATAAATTGAGTAATAATTTTCTAAGTACCTGTACAATGCAATTGGTTGGTCTAAAAGTGGAAGGTACTGCTTTGGCATGCTCACCTATAAACACAAAATATTATCATCTAGATGAAGGTACGGATATTTGGTGCATCCTGTTGCATAACCCACACTAACAATGTTTTAGTTTATACTTACGCCCATTCTTTTGCCCATCCCTCCTGCAAGAAAAATCACGGAAACACTATTCTCTTTCGTCACATAATCTGTGCTTCGCTGATGAGCAAAATCAATTGATATATTGAATTTGATGAAAATCCCAAACTTTTTAAAACAAATTAAGAAAGTATACATATAACATGTATACATCGTCATTTTCTGCTGCTACTGCACTGAGAGTGATTCTTGAATGGGGTCGTCTCCAAGAAATGAACTTTCCAGTGGGGGTGGGTACAATTGAAGGATTCTTGGGACAACATGTGGTTGTATATTGTTTTGGAGGTTTGGTCTTGAAGAAGAAGGGGGGTTTTGGAAGGGAGATCTGAAGAAAGGACATGGTTGACGGATTTGGTTTTCATGTGATACCCACTGATACGGAACATAAAAGGGAGGCGATCGTGTGAGAAATCGAAAAAAGAGTTACTGATGAGTGGGGTGAGCTAGTGGGAGATAAGAAACCGAGGACGGCTGTAATGTCATTAAAATTGTTCCCTTTTTAGCAAGGATGAATGCATGAAATAGGAAATTGTGAATTTTGTAAAGATGAATGGTGACAACTTTCATATTCATTTTAAAAATGGGGTACCGTACCTACACTCACTTGATTGGTTCAAATCATTACATCATTTTTAATTTATATTTAAATAATTCAACTACTTTATTCTGATTGGTCCATGTGGACAAAGGTACGGTACTTTAAGGGTACCGTAGAATCTACCAAGATGAATTACTAGTAGTTCACAGAATAGTTCTAACTTATCTCCGACCTAGTATAACGTAGGCAACTCCGCATATCCTATACTTCTTAAATTGATTTTTGAAAAAGAGTCAAATACATCATTGTACGATTGCAAATCGGTCACATAAATCATGTACTATAAAAACATCATATAAGCCCATCTATTTTTTAAAAAATATGAGAAAATTGCTCCTCGTAGGATCAATTCATACGGATTTTACAAAAAGAAGACCTGTAATTGTTTCTCCCGTACGTGTCACTTATTTAGTTGTATTTTAGGAAACTTGATTTTAAATTTTGACTTGTACCCCTCCAGCTATTTATTAGATTTCCCCCAAATTAAAAACGGCATGGTGCTAATTAACGACCATAAGCTTCACGCTCCATCCTTCTTCCTTATTCAGCATTCTCATGGAATGTTTTCACTGTTCCGCGTTCGACACCTTCGTATGAATTCGACTTTCAATTACATCCGTATGCTCTAACAATTGCGGACAAATTCGGGTTACATAGTCGTACTTGAATTGTTATTCAAACGTTGATCTTCACAATTCTAGTAATTTCCTTGATCGAACGAACCTTCCATTTTTTATTATAATTCGTTAAAACTAATTTACTGAACAAAGGAAAACTTATATTGAACTAAGTTAATGAACATGATTACAGAAAACGTAGCAGATTAGCTGAATTTTAGAGTTAGATCTGTCTCGATGATGACTGGGAAGGGGGCAATCTGGAACCATGGAGCATGTAAGTACTTCGAATGTAAAATTCTGCAAAATTCATGAGCCATTATCATCAAACATGCTATATATTAAAATAAAACCCTTTAATTACGATTTAAAGATGTTTGCAATTACACATCATTTTCAATATAAGACAAAGACGTCAAACCCCAAAGTATTGCATGTTGTTTGTGTTGATGATGGTTGCCTTTGGACTGTTCGTTCAATGATGCTTTCCGGAAGTTATATGTTTCAAAGTAGAAGGCACATGCTTTAATTTTAGAAGTTACATGTTATGTTCCAAATTTCATATACTTCCTTTTATTGGATTTTAATATCTATCTATGATTGTTTAAGGACTATTTAATGTCCGCACTTGTCTGTAAGTTTTATATGTTACACATTTTTTCTAAAAATTTGTTGTTGTTTGATGCTTTCATGTATAAACAAATTTCGTTTATATATGATGTATCACTTTTGTCATCTTCAAGTTTGAATTCTCATTTTGACCTTGAAATTGCACTTCAAAGCGTTTCTCTTATCTATTTTTAGTTTCCAATGTCAATTTTTGCTTTTCTACTTCATATAGTTCTTTGATCTTCTTTTTGGTGAACTAGATACCACCGGTTGTAGTTGACGTGCACTTTGTCGTGAGATGCACTCAAAATAATTAATCAATAGAACACTAATACGTAGTATAGTGAAGTAAGGTTCATATCCACAGAGAAAGAAATACTTTTCTTTTATATAAGTAGTAATAAGGGGGGGTTTAGATTTGTTTGATCAACTTTAAATGTATTTAAACACTAAGATGAACGACCTATGTGTTTTACTTAATTAGATATGAAGATTTGGTTTTGCTTTTATCCACTTAACGAAATGTTCGTCGATCCCGGTTATATCTTTAACTATCTTCCTCTCGAATACTCAATCGAGGAGTATATCCAGTTCATCGAGGGTAGTTATTAATAACGAGATGCGTTCATTAATAAAACTTACTACCGAGTCAATATAGAACACGCGCCGTATATTAACCCGATAGTAGCAATAAACTTAAGATGAAAACGATTGAGATTTGATAACCTCAACACAAGCGGTTTATTGGTTTAATCAATATAATTAATTCCCCTTAGATTATTAACCATGAGAAGCATGCATTAATAATCCAAGTCTACTACCGTTGAAAGAACCGAATTAATAACAAGCGTATTAACCGATTGATTCTAGTAATAATTAATATATGAAACCAAACTAGTTGATCCTTTAAGTAATGTTCAAAATATTAATATGGGATATCAATAGGAAGTAATTAATATTCAAGGAAGAAGATTAAAGAAAACAACTCACAACTTACAAATCATTAAGCTTCAAAGTAGCAAAACCAAGATGGAAGAGTTTAGCTCCTCATTTGGAGACTAAACATGATGAAAATATAAAGAAAAACTATTCTAGACTGAGCTTAGAAGTATATGTGAATTGGTGATCTAATTGTGGAGGGAAAAGGGTGTATTTATAGGATTTTGGGAATGTAGTTCGGGTACTCGATCGGGTATATACATGGTACCCGACCGGGTATGTGTATAACGTCAGATTCGAAGTATACTCGATCGAATTCGGGGTTAAAATCGATGGCATACCCGATCGGGTGTGTCGGTGTACCCGATCGGGTATAGACACTCGATCGTGGTCAAAATCTTCCTTGCATGTTCCTTTGTCTTCAGATCCGATCCGATTTGAAATTTCGACAAGATACTCGATCGGGTATAGGTATACCCGACCGGGTATAGACCAAAAATGAGGATCTTCATTTTGTCTTGTGATTTTGCACCTTCCTTCCACTTTTGGGGTTAACCAACTGTCCTTTGAGTGATCATAGACCTGTTTGAGCTCAGAATAACCTTAATCTAAACAATTTACAAGTATTTAACAAACTAAACAATTTACAAGTATTTAATATTCAAGGAAGAAGATTAAAGAAAACAACTCACAACTTACAAATCATTAAGCTTCAAAGTAGCAAAACCAAGATGGAAGAGTTTAGCTCCTCATTTGGAGACTAAACATGATGAAAATATAAAGAAAGAACTATTATAGACTGAGCTTAGAAGTATATGTGAATTGGTGATCTAATTGTGGAGGGAAGGGGGTGTATTTATAGGATTTTGGGAATGTAGTTCGGGTACCCGATCGGGTATATACATGGTACCCGACCGGGTATGTGTAAAACGTCAGATTCGAGGTATACTCGATCGAATTCGGGGTTAAAATCGAAGGCATACCCGATCGGGTGTGTCGGTGTACCCGATCGGGTATAGACACTCGATCGTGGTCAAAATCTTCCTTGCATGTTCCTTTTTCTTTGGATCCGATCCGATTTGAAATTTCAACAAGATACTCGATCGGGTATAGGTATACCCGACCGGGTATAGACCAAAAATGAGGATCTTCATTTTGTCTTGTGATTTTGCACCTTCCTTCCACTTTTGGGGTTCACCAACTGTCCTTTGAGTGGTCATAGACCTGTTTGAGCTCAGAATAAACCTAATCTAAACAATTTACAAGTATTTAACAAACTAAACTATTACACCAAAAATGTGTAATTTCCAAGGTAGAAATCAATCAAAGCTAATTAAAAATACAAACATAAACATGGAAATTACAAACGTATCAGTAGTCCAAGAATTTGCTGGAATGAGGGTTCAACTGATGCGTATAAAGTGTTCGACAAAAGTCGTGAACCAGAAACTAATGAAGCCCCCTAAAAAACTAGATCGGTCTGTTTCAGAACAACAAGGATACTACTCAGGGTATGCAACTAGTGTATTTCCCACCCTGTGGGGATGACGATTTACTCTTGGAAGAAGAAGAAAATATAACGTCGTTGGTTCAAACCTAGGGATACTACAATGTGGGATGTTTTACTCAAAACTTCTCAGGATTTAAAGATATTTGAGACTTTGGTATCATCGTGGGGAGTCCCTTGTACTTGCAAGAATCCTATCCTGATCCGTAGTTCTTAGTTTGATAATATTCTATTAATTCAAATTTGTATTTCCCAGAATAACATTTAAAAGAGTTGTACTTTTCTCTCTCGTTGTTCTTAACTACCACGGTTTGTTGGCGTCGAAACATATGTTAATTGTCATGGTTTTTGGCATTTCAATTGATGTACTTTTGATGTTCATTCTTAACTAGCAAACATATTCCAAATTAATGTCTTCTTATTGTGTGTTTAATGGCTATCTCACTTGTTTATATACATTGTCTATATCAAATTACATTAGCATCCCACTTCTTCCTACAAGTACTCTAACTATGTTTCGTCATGCGTCACTAAAATCTTCGACTTAATTTGGATCTCTAACAATTGGTGTCCCACATGTTTTAACTATCCACCTTTATTACCAGTTTAATATGGATTTGTAACCTATACGAACTTTTCTACATCACAAATGTTCACTACAAATTTATTTTTCATTTTGTCATTCTGTTTTATGGACATTCAATGAAAAAGATATAAGGAATAAGTTTTACTGTCATGCAATTTAAAATGTATTGGTGTTTATATGTGTTATCATCGTATTTTATGTCATAGACGATTTGCATTCAATTTGTAAAGATCAACTATGACTCATGTTTATTTTATCTTTACTGTCTAGATATTGACTTGTATTATATAATTAATGTCTGATTCCAAAATAATATTTCTCAACAAATATCTCTTTTGACTAAGACATTTAGGTTTGAAAAACTCCCTTGTATGAAGCACAAGAAGTTTATTACTCCCTTCGTCCCCCTATAATTGTCTCATTTTTTCATTTTTGGATGTCCCTTTATTATTGTCTCATACCATATTTGGTAACATTTGTGTGGTTCAAATTCATTCTTACTTTATTTCCACTTTATCAACTCATTACCAACCACATAATTCTACTTTTCTTAAAAACCACACCACTCCCTTCCGTACCAATTTATAAGCAACGACTAATTTTTAAACTAGATGTCATTAAAAGACAATAG